AGCCAGATTAACTGACTTGCTCAAGGTCACACAGTTGGCAAAAAGGCAGAGATGGAACACAAATGTGGGTTACTAATTCCACTTTTTTTTTTTTTTTTTTTTTTTGAGACAGCGTCTCACTCTGTCACCCAGACTGGAGTGCAGTGACACAATCATGGCTCACTGCAGCCTCAAATTCCTAAGCTCAAGTGATCTTCCCACCTCAGCCTCCCAAGCTGCTAGACTACAAGTGCCTGCCACTAAGCCCAGCTACTTATTTCCTTTCGAGATGGAGTCTTGCTCTGTTGGCCAGGCTAGAGTGCAGTGGTGCAATCTCGGCTCACTGCAAGCTCCACCTCCTGGATTCAAGTGATTCTTCTGCCTTAGCCTCCCGAGTAGCTGGGATTACAGGCAACTGCCACCACTCCTGACTAATTTTTGTATTTTTAGTAGAGACAAGATTTCACCATGTTGGCCAGGCTGGTCTCGAACGGCCTCCCAAAGTGCTGGGATTACAGGCATGAGCCACCGTGCCTGGCCTTATTTTCTTTTATGTTTTTGTAGAGACAGGGTCTCGCTATGTTGCCCAGACTCATTTCAAACTTCTGGGCTCAAGCGATCCTCATGATTGGGCCTCCCAAAGTGCTGGAATTACAGGCATAAGCCATGGCGCCCAGCCTCTAATTCCAAGATGGGTGCTTTTCCCATGGCCTTTCCCTATTCAAAGACAGAAGAGATGATGAAGGACTGAGAGGACCAGACTTAGTGGAAGACCTGAAATAAAGACATACCACTGCCTCAAAGAAAGACACAAACGTGACCCCTTCAAACACTTACTCAGCACCTACCACATTCCTGCATTGTGCTAGATGCTGTAGGAAACTCGAAAAGAAACGGCAAATGTAACTGAATGCATAGCTTACTCACACTCTGAATTCCAAGTGCAGAGAAAAGAAAAAGTATAAGTGAAGGAAATTGATAGGACAGACCATTGGGTGAAGGTGAGACTTGGGAGGACCTTAAGGGATGAAAAGCTCTTACTTTTTGGCCTTGGCTAGCACTTGGATCCTCCCGAGTTATTTGCTGCCTATAAAGCTTAGAAAGGGACTGCCAGGTTTCCGCCAAGGGAGCGGCATCTCTATGCATACCTGCTCTTAGTTCTAAATAACATGTAGCCTGGCTATCCCCTCAATAAGTTAAGAGGCCTGAAACCTCCAACTGCTTAAGGGTTTTTTGGGGGTTTTTCTAGTTTTTTTTTTTTT